AACAGGCCCCCCCAAAAAGGTAACTTTTGTTTTGCACCCCAGGAAAAAAAAAAAAAAAAAAAAAAAAAAAAAAAATCTCACCATTGAGTACTTTTGATATAGTATTAGTAGTACAAATGTCTTAGTATACTTGAAATAAGAAAAAAAATGCATTACAAGCAAGACACAGGAGCTTGTTTTAATTAGGCAATTCTTTAAAATTGGTGAAAAAGTTGCAGTTCCACTGACAGATTATTTCACTTACAACATGGAAAAATGCTTGTTATATCTGAAATAATTCAGAAAATATTGATAAAAAAAAATCAATATTAAGGAATTATTGACGTAAACAAAGCTTTTATATTTTGCTGAAAAGTTTCTTGTAAGTTACTTTTATCTTACGTCATGTGTGCTAAGATATTTTCACTAGAAACTAGACCAAAAATACTTGGTAATATTTAGTGTTCTTGATCAGTCTATTGGTTACGGTTGGATCATGAACTCTGACCTTAACTGAGACAGGAGGGGCTTTAGCTGTGATGAACTTTTTTAAAAGTCTTTTCATGAAAATAATAAAAAATAAAAAAAATGCAATGCAATTCATAAATGATTTTTGCAACACCTCAAAAATGAACTAATGTAAAAAAAAAAAAAACAGCTGCCTACGGTTTGATAAGTTACATATTAGCGGGGATGAACGTGATGTGGAGAAACACAAACGTTTGCAGGACAAGTTCTGCTGTTCTCCCCGTTGTTGTGAATAAATCCAGCAGATAAAAGCACAGAGGTAATTAGAGCACATAATGACCAAATCCATTACTCTCCTATCAGGTGGGAATAAAAAGGGAGGAAGTCTCCAGGCGGCGCTTTCCATCCTCACAGTTTCACAAAAATGATAAATGTCTGCAGTCGGGCCCAAATAAAGCGCGCCGCCTTCTTATGCTCTTCAAACAGTAATTAAGAAACACATTAATGGTTGAGAAGTTGTCCAGCTGCGTCTTTTTAATTACTTTTTTTTTTCCCCACTTTTAGTGAATCTCAAAGCCAGAGGGACGATGTGAAATGTAACTATTTACAAGAAGTGTGGATAGACGTCTCGTCATCATCATAAACAGTTTGAATCGTGAATTTCTGGCACAAAACTGTCGCTAATTCTGAATCTATCGCCTTTATTTCTCAATAAAATGCAGATAATCTCCATTACATACTATTATCAATGCTTCCTGTGGTTTTAGTTTATTCAATCTCATAGATTGGGGATCACTTGGTCAGATTTCAGACACGTCGAAACCCAAATAATCCCAGGATGTTGCCGAGCGAACTCGTGTTCAGAGTTAAAAGAACTGAAGCGGGTTTTTTTTGTTAGTTTTTTTTTACCTGTTCCTCTGACAGCTGGGAGATGTGGTTCACTGCGGCGTACGACTCAATCTTGGGATTGAAGTGGTTGATGATGGCACTGAAAGATTAAAAACAAAAAAAAACAAAAAGAGGTTTGCTGAAAAGCTGCAGACAGAATATGTTAAACGTCTCCTCTATGGGAAGTCGCTGCCAATTTTGTCGATGTTTTATCTGAGGTCTGACCTGCTAATACCAACTTTCCTTAAAAAAAAAAACTACACAATACATCTAGAATACTTAAAGTAAACAATGTAATAATTTGGCATGACATTTCCAAATATATCAGAAGAATATTTCAATAACATTTATTTACAAATGTAAAACTGGAAGCTTCAGTTTTCCTTGAGCATGAGGAATGTTAACATAAAGAGTCACTGATCTGGATTAATTAATGGAAAATCGTATCGGCAGGAACCCCAATATCCTGTTGGCATGGAAACCGATTTTAGAACCGAGTAAATCTGGCTCTAAAATCTGGGGGACAAACGGGAGGTGAACGAGAAGCAAAAAAAAACAACAACAAAAAAAACAAAAAAAAAAACACACCTGCTTCAGATTAACGCAAACGTAAATCTGACTGGAATCCATCATGCCAGACTAAAGAAGGTACGACTTTATTGCTTCACCTGAAGAGGATTGCCGAAAGCAACCTCCCAACGTGTTAACATAAGAGGATAAACTACACTACAAAGAACCCAATTCATCAGAGAATCTGCTCTAAACAGCAAATGTGTCCGTCAGAGAGAAAAGACGACATGCAGTGAGGACGCTAGAGGACTTCTCAAGGTCGAATATACACACATTAGGAAGTTGGATTGCTTCATAATCACTGGCAGCCTTTGTAAAGACGTGTAAAAAGCCTAAAAATACTTACATTTTCTGTCACGGTAGCATAAATTAACACAAAAATATTTTGAAAACAAAAACCGATCTTAATTTGAGAACATTTACAACGCTGTGAGTTTTTGCCCCCTTAAAGATTTCTACTTGTTTTTGTTCCTACTGAGCATATTTGTGTTAAGATTTCCCATTTTCCAAACTGACCTTTGCACCTAAAGCCTATTAAACCAGTTCAGATGCAAACTGAGCCAGTGGAGCGTTAAAAACCAGCAGCAGCAGTCAGTCAGTCATAACTCACTCCCAGCATTCCTTACTGTCTCTCTGAGCCAACACAAATGTAAATTCAGAGACATTGCTCTCCAGCATTTGCTCTCAGTCTGAAGAATAAACTGCTTAGTAGCTCAAATACAAGTTGACTCAATAAGCATAGCTGGGAGATTAAATGGCTTATCCTGTGTTAGTCTGGAGTGCGTAATATTTCAAATATATCAGTCTGACAGAACTGGAGAGATTTTTCTGTCACCGTAATTCGTCTGTGGGCACAAAGAGACGACAGATGGAGAGAACTGATGGGGGCAAAATTGAATCTGTTCCTTCATTTGAGTTCATTTCGTCATCTAACTGAACTCTTTATAACCTCCTCTGCTTCCATTCTTTTATTTTGTCAAATTGTCTTTTCGGGTTCTGGGTCGAAGCATTTAAATCAACTCGTCGTTCTCTGAAAAAGCAAAAGTATTCATCCCAAGTCAACTTCTTACCATTCTGTAACGTCACGAGCTCAAGCTTACAGGTACTTTATGTAGATTTAAAACAATAAACGATCTCAAACTAGTGCAATGTTGGAGGAGGAAGGGGAAAGAGATGCAGATGCAGTCACAGCTGCAAATGTTTGAGGGTTTGTCTCCTCTTCAGCTCATCTTCACAAAACGGCTCAAGTTGGGTCGACTTGGCTGGAGAGCTTCAGGGAGCTTCTGTTTTCCTCACAGATTATAAATTGGGTTTAGTTCTGGACTATCTAAAATATGACATCAAAAAAATACACTAAAGATGTAGTCCGAATTTTGGGTGAGGTTCGGGTCGGCCTTGGATCATAAACCAAAATCTGTTGCAGGTTTGGTTCCAGGGCTGCAAAATACCAAACTTCATCGGTCGTTCCTTCAACCCTAACCAGCTTCCCTGTCCCTGCTGAAGAACGGCGTCCCTGACGCTCGATGCTGTCCCGTTGTGTTCAGGGTGATCCACAGTGTTCATTCACAAGGCGAGCGTCCTTACCGAATGTTGACGAGGGCGTGCGTGACTTTGCTGGCTGCCTCCTTCCACTGTCCTGTGTTGGTGGATACTCTCAAAACTGGAGGGAAGAGGGGAAAAAAAAAAAACATGGTCTGATAGTTCACTCCCTTTTTCTGTAAATTAACCCATAATTCATTTCTCAGATTTTTAGAAAGAGACACTGAAGCCCGTTTCTAGGGCTAATCTGGAGCTGGGTAGCTAGAGAGGTCATGTGACTCCGCTCCGCTCCATGGTTTATGAAAAGGTTTCCAAGCGTACCCATGCAGTAGAGGTTGTCAAAGACCTGGTGCATTCGGACAATTTCGTAATACAGTTCGTCGTAGCTGTTGGATGTGGGCAGGAATGTGTCTCCGTAGGTAATAAACATGTTGAACAAGTTCACCACCTAGAAAAGGAGACAAGATTCAGGGAAATCACATATGAAACACACGAAATTAGGATTTGTAAGAAAAACTAAACTAATACTGAAGAACCATCTTGTTCTTCAGACGTCACCATAACAGTGGTGGGCACTCTGCCGCTAACGCACCAGCAGCAAAGCAAATTATTTGTGTAGAGATTTTGCTAACGTTTAGCACATTTAGCTTCTCCTGGATTCATCTTTCTGGACAAACTCTAAAGCGCTAACAGTTTGACATCTGTGTTGAAGTTTTTGGTTATCGACTTAAGAATTCATCAAGTAGTTGGACGCTTATGTTCATGCTCTTATTTTGAAGTGTTTAAAGACTGTTTACATAGCAGTTCTGTTTCCTTTAGTCAAGTTCTTCCTCTTTTTTGCCCCCAGTAACTTTATTTCAAAAAAGAAACACGCAGGAATAAAATAAAACACAGACAAAAGAGAACAAGATATTGACATAAACACAACATTTAAGGGAATTATGAAATGTGTAAATTATGTCAAAATTGAACTTATAATATTTATATGGTTTGAATTGAAGTTTTTAGCATCAGATGCTGCAAAAGACCGTGTTGGTGCAGCGTAACCAATGACTACATTAGCACAACTAATGATTATTATTAGCGCTTTGGGGTTAGTGCAGCCAACTTTTCTAGATAGAGGTGCTCCAACCTGCAAACAGCAAACTTCAACATTAACGCAACAAGCACTGGCTGGTCCAGAAATCTCCCATCTCCACTCTGCGTGTGTGTGTCAGCATTTCTCACCAGCAAGGCCAGGTGAAAGATGTTGTGCTTGGCCAGTAGTGTTGTTTCATTTGACAGCAGGAACTTCAGCAGGTTGATGAGAGCTGCATGGACAGAAAGACATGCTAGCATTAAAGACATAATGAGGAGAATTGTCTCCCAGCAGAGGCAGATAGCAGCAGCCTCTCAGTGGGCCTCTTCATTAAGGAGGATAATGAAACTCAGGAGGTGGGGGCGGAGGGTCCTTCCAACACCAAATCAAGGATGTCTGCAAGCTTTTACCGAGGAAAACAAAACCCATCACGGCACCTAAAACGAGCGCCCGCTCAGAACAAACGGCGACGTACGCTGACACAACAGCACACCGAAGGAAGATAAAAAGCATCCGGCGTTTTTAATTCGGCTGTTTTTCGTCTCCGGGTTTATTTTCTGTTAAGCCGTTATCGCCAGCGAGAGGGGGCGAGCCCGTGTTACTCGGGGAATTAATGTGATTATTGGTCCGATTAGAGAAATCTGTATTCCAATGAGGCGCGATGAAGCCGTTACAAAGCTGAAATGTTACCCTGCTGTGTGTTGACCCAGCTAAAAGTAAGGCCTCCAGGATGGATGGATCTCTCTTCAGAGAGTCATTATCCAACCTCAACGACGCAATGCATCTTCAAAAGAACAATCGCATCGAGTGAAGGAGAAAATGGGCTTATTCTGCCAAAACAGAATTACTCGAAGTTCAGAGGCAGCACAGTAAATACATCCATGTGGTCCGGTCACTAAAGTCTCGATACTGTTATAATATTGTGGTTCAGTACACTGTGTGTGTACGTGTAAAAATCAACTTGAATGGAAAATGACAATACCTCTTTAAGTCGCTTTAAACTAAAAATTGTAGATGTACAATTTAAATTTTTTTTGCAACACTTGTTTGTAACAATTATTCCGTTCAAAAATGCAATATGATATAATATGATCGGCCGGTTTAGAGCCTGATCAGTCTCGTTGACCAGCCTATCAAAACCTCACAAATCTTTTTTTTTTCTTCTTCTGGTCAGTTAATGCACCTCAACACTGTGCTAAGCAACAACCCTGACAACAACACTGTTCGGTGTGGAAGCTGCTTCTGACGGAAGAAAAGTCACGGTGGCACAAAGTTCCCTCTGCTGAAAGTACCAGCAGACGCAGCTTTATTTCAACAAAACACACACACACACACAGCTAAAAGTAAGTGAGGTAACTTTACCTGACCACAGCTCTCTCCAGGTGTAGTGTAGTCTGATTCTGCATTTCTTCTGGTAACATAGCAGTTTGTGAATGATTTGAACGCAGCGCCTTCAAAGGAAAATCGTGCCTTAAAACTTGTTGTGGAGAAAACATAATAATAGACGAATCACAACGGTATCCTCGTTTTTGAATGTGTGCTTACAAGTACAGATCCATGGGGAAATCCTTCATCATATGAGTGATGACAAACTCCACCATCAGATCTACATGCAAGGAGAGCAGGGGGGAAAAAAAGAAATCAGGACTATTAGAAAGAAATAACTTAGTTTAACCTCAAAAAGCAACAAGTTTGAGTTCAGTTTAGTAAAGAGAGTAAAATGAAAACTGTTCTTTTAAAGGAAATTGTAGACCTGTATGAAAAAGGTAGACGGATAACGAGAAACAAAGCTTAACTATAATGACTGCGCTATACAATGTGTGGTGTAAAACAAAAGCAAGGCATCAAAAATCATTGAGTTGGGAAAAAAAAGTATTTTCTTGAATCTGTAGCAATACATATATTACAGTTTTAAATTATTAAAACATTATTTTCAAATTAGATAGGAGATTACGGCTGAACAATGTTTACCTAGAACAGCACAAACCAGCGGACGTGAAGGGATGTTTTTACCCGCCGCTTTCTTCCGGTGTCTCATCGGCTGGAAACCATAAAATAAAATCACTTTAAATGCTTTACGTGCGCAGATTCACACGCTCTAACGTAAAACCCACACTACGGCACCGATCAAAGTTGATTTTGAATCTTAACGTCGCACAAAAACGACTGAAGCGAGCAGAAGCGGCGTGAAGCGCCGCAGACTTACCATCCTGTGGAGGCTGACTCTGAAGTTTATGTTGTCGTCGTGGAGAAAGGCGTCGGCGTACTGGTCCTGTGGTGAAACCAGACAAACACAGAAGCGTTCGGACGTTTGTTTGGAGGACACGGACAGAGATGTACAGCTCACAGCAGGGGGGAGGCTCCCACCTCGGCGATGCACGTGAGGATGATCAGGCACAGTCTGGCGCTGTTGAGTCGATGCTCGTCTGTAAAACACACAAACGGCTCTGAGCGATAAAAACGATTCTGAGACGACTTTGATTCAGACACTTCTGCCTTAAGCCTTTCTGTCTATCAGAACCGTAGACTGATCGGTTTGAGCATTCTCAGGGATATTTTTGCCACACGATTTTAAATATATCTGCTGTTTCTTTTTTTTTTTTTTCTTTATTACGATACTGTGCGTTTGAGGATGATTTTGTCTTCACCACATTCAAAAGGAAGTTAAAGCTGCCTGGTTTGTTCATTTTTGTCCAGATGTTTGCAGTTTGTCTGCTTCATGTCAGCTGCTTGCAGACTGACAGAAGGAATTTTATCTCTACTTCATTTTGTCGCACGCTGCGCCACATTAAGTGGTGCAACCAGAGCTTTGACCAAACTGAAATGAAAATATACTTTTCGGCAAGTTTGACATTTCAGTTTAAAATATCTATTATTTTTTCCCCTGATTTTATGTAATATTCTAATATCTCAAAGTCTGAATGTGGGGTATTCATTATCTGTAAGGCATCCTCAGAAATATTTCACTCTATTTGTTATGAAGCTATACAGTATATAAGCTTCATCTTTTGAAATAAGTGCCAGAATATATTGAAGTTATTCAGAATATTCTGATGTACATGCACTACTACTACTGCAATATTATTACGTACATTATTAGTCCAAATGTTTCTATTACTGCTGCTAATAACTATAACATTGCTTACAGAAGTTAAACATAAGGGAAACGTGAAATGTGACTTTCATCTTGTAATAACACTCTTGCATTTTTGTACAAAACTGTCAACAGTAATGACTCATCTAAATTTGCATACAATAATTTATTTATTTCTTAAATACATGACATCTCTGAGCTCAGGCTGAAGTTCCTCCTTCCTCTCTTGCAGGCCAGACTCTGCAGGGCTCGCTCCGTTTTAAATACGAACACGATTATTGTTTAAACTGACCGGCTCGTCCTCAGTAATCGGGCCTTCTGCACCTGACGTAAGCCACTCTTGGTTCTCGACCAATCAGACGTGTCAATGCACTGGTTGCCTTTGACAAAAAGAGACTTAAACGTCACACCTTTTGATCTTTTGTGTGAACCCACATATCCTGTTCCTGCTGTTACAGCTGAATTTCGTCCCACTGTGGGACGATGAAGTCTATTTCTTTTTCTAGTCTATAAAAGGACTGGATCTGAGATGGGTTCTGGCTCGGAACCAGAGCTGGAAGTGAATCACTCTGAAAAGGCTTATTATCTGCCTCTCCTGTCCAGAACAATTAAACACAGCATGACTATTTAAAAGAAAGAGACAGCGTAGATAAACGGGCGGGAGAACGAAGAACGACTTGACGGAAGGTTCTCTGTTTACCTTTAGTATCCTGCGTTACGATAGAGGCATACTTGAGGAAGGTAATGAGAAGGTTGCTGGTCTGCAGGTTGGGATCCAAGGGCAGCTCCGGGTTATTCATCACTGCAGAAAATTAAACTTCAAAGTTTAACATAAATATGCCAAAAAGGAAACATGTGCAGCCAACAGAAGGGAGGTTTTTCTGAGAAAAGAACTAAACTTGTTTATCGAGTTAATGCAGCTTTATTACCCCACTGGGTCCAGACAGGGATCTACTGTTCCCAACCAAACACTCGTTCTTAGCCCACTGCAGGTCCAGAAGTGCAAGTAGAAGAAGTAGTAGTCCAGAAGTAGAACAAAGAAGCTTTTTCAGGACACGTGATTACAAAACGCGCGTGTGCCGGGTCGAGTCTGGTTTGACTGGAAGCTTCCATGAAACGGCATGAAGACGGTCTGAGTGTGGCGCGCATATCTGTGTTTGAGGCTTGAATGTAAATATTTCATACAGGGAAAAGCAGTAATGGAGGGAGAGGCGGGCAGAGAGAGGAGCAGCTTTTAACAGTAAGAGGGCGTGTGTGTCGGAAACGACCTGCTTTTGAACATGCTAGCTGCAAGAAACGGCTTCCACAAAACCTGGAGTGACAGCCGTGTATTACTTTTTTTGGAGGGGGGGAAATTTATTACACAATGTAATTATGTGGTTTTTACTTCACAATTTTTGTTACATGATAAATTTCTACCTGTACAGTATGTAGGTATTTTATTTTGATGGTGTGAGAGGCTTTGGGTGTACTTCATGTCTGAGTCTACTCATCAACTCTTTAAGACGTAATAAAAATGTTGAATGGAAGTGAACAGACAGGCGCTTCTGCACTTAAAGTTAACTTTATCATCTACACAGATTTCATCATTCCTTTTAAAGAAAACAAGCTTAAAGCTTCAGTAGGTAATATAAAAATGTTTTTTTTTTTTTTTTTACATATTTAACAACAGTATAAAAGGAGACAAATAATGTATTAAAATATTAGCTCCTCTGTGTCCTCCCTGTGCTCCTGCTGCCATCTCCAGAAACACAACACAATGTCAGCAGCAACCAATCAGAGTCAGGAGGCGGGTCTTCTTAGCGCTGTCAATCACTCTCATGCGCATGCTGCTGCAGTTTTAAGTAGGAAGCAAAACTTTTTAAGAACATTTTGGGAAACTTTTCACAATTTTATCCAGGATAAACACTTTCTGAATGCAGTGGTTCCAGCTCTCCAAACAGAAACAATGTCACAGCTCGTGTCACCTTGTACGTAAAAGTGAGTCTCTTACCATCTAGGGAGGGCGGCGTCGTGCCGAGTGGTGTTGTTGGTGTGGTTGGAGTGGGAGTGCTGGGTGTGACTGGGATGTCGATCTCAGGATGGCTCTGTTGAGAGACCAGAAACACAACGACTCCCTAATGTGAAAGGCGGGAATGGTTAAAGCCAGATTAGAAACACTGGAGAAAGAGAATTGCTGTGACCAATAGGGAGCCGAAAACCCTTAAAATCATTTGCTACTCATGTCCTCCTTCCACTCGATAAAGTAGTAAGAATTAATGTGTTATTTTACCTGTGCCAGCACTGTGATGAAGTTCCTGTTCAAGTGGACCGCCTCGTAAAGTGCCAGCAGAATTGCCTCGTTTGTCCTGAAAGTTGGAAATGTTTCAAAATGAACACAATTAATTATGGAGAAAAAGAGGCTTTTTTTCCAGATAATTTTGGCTAAAACAGAAGTTAAGACTCCCTGCAGGTTAAATCAATTTTATCGATTAATCACATTTAATTATCTGGATATTTTTTCCCATTAGTGAACTCCGTAGGTCAGACTGAACCACCCAAGAACTGCCATCTTGTTTGACGAGTGTTTTTTACAACTTTTATTTATTTTGACTTTGAGTTAGGGTTAACTCACAGAAGGAATGAACGAAATAAAACCGTTTTTTGTAAAGATATTTTCTGTCATTTGTAATTTCTTTAAGAAAAAAAAAAGACAAAAATCAATAAAAATCCACGTATTTCGTAATTGCATATTTGTTTATTTCTATGGGTATTTTAAGCAGCAATAAGATTGACAATGAGAGCAATAGTAAACATGGTGCCTCATAGTAAACACTGAACTTACTGCACAGAGAGTTTCTCATCAACATCTGCTATAAACATGCTGCCCACCTGTGGAGAAAAAGACAACGGCATAAGCAAACTAGGCATTTAAAAAAAAACCCGGCTTATTTTAAAACTATGAGATGAAAGTGGAACCTACCATACTAGTGAGGGTTGAGAAGAACCCGCCCTGGTTCTCTTCCTCTTTATCTTTGTACTGTCTAAAATGTAAAGAAAAAACAAAAACAACCAGTAGAAAATGGGAAATTACACATCTATAAACAAAGAGGAGAGAGCCACATAACAGCACAAACAGAGATCGATGTTTACAATCAGACACAGAAAATACTCCAACATTTTATCTATGGGCTGCCGAACAAGCGGCTCCGTGAAGCCGCCATCCATCACTCTGATGCGTCTGTCTTTGAATGCAGACGGACCAAACCTTCTTCACAAACAGCATCTTAATTCCCCTCATCTGGAAAAACATCACAGACCACCAGAGCAAACTGCCAGATATAAATAACTTGTGTTGTTTTTGTCCTTCGTCAGAGCAGAAATAGAAACATTGATGACACCGGCAGCCTCATCACGCACACACACACACACACACACACACCCACACACACACACAGCTATTACAAACCAGTTTGAGTCATGTGAAGAAATGTAAAGATCTCACCTGTTATATTCTGTCAGAGCTTGATGAAGGACCACGCCCATGCCCTGGGAATGACATGAAATGAGTCGTTCAGTCGTTAATCTACCAGATGAAAAGGTCGCCTGCTTCTCACCATCGATCTTTAATGAGGAGACAGCGAGCAGCAGCATACTTACATCGAGCGTCGGCTCGTCGTCCACAATGGAGAGTTTCACGATGTACGGATTCACAGACTGAAGAAAGAAAAGCAATCAGAGAACAACACAGATCATTTAGGCCGATGTTACACTTGGAGTATCGAAAACAGCAGACCTGAAGACAGTGTTGTGTTCAAGACCACCTAACCCGAGACCAAGACAAGACCAAGACTT